TGAGGGTGGCATCGCAACCTCCCGATCCGCCCTGCTCTGTGCATGACGGGGCGGCGCCCCAACTCCCCAATCGGCCCTGCTCTGAGCCTGACCAGGGGCTGCACTTAGGGATTGGGCCTGCCCTCTGTCACCCGGAAGCAGGCCTAAGCCAGCAGGGCGTTATCTCCCGAGGGGTCCCAGACTGCGAGAGGGCACAGGCCGGGCTGGGGGGCCCCTCCTCCCCCTGCCCCCCGAGTGCACAAATTTTTGTGCACCGGGCCTCTAGTATATATATAATGTAGTATATATACTATACATATATAGTGTAGTATATATATCCTAATTATGTGAGTAAAGTCCCTGCAAATATCCACTGGTGAGGATTTTTTTTAAAAAAATGCTAAGTCTACCCCATCCATACTAGTAAAATTACTCCGATAAATAGAAGTGATCATATTTCTATGCCTAGGTTTATTGGTCCCAAAATGCAAAAAAAAATGAATAATCAAAATCTTTGTCTACTAGATTTTGGTTATTCTATGAATTCTCCCCATGCTTATATTTTCACTGTTGGCTTATGAAAAATTAATTATGTGCATCTGAGTTAATAATAACAATGTTATTCAGATTGATGAATCTCAGAAGGAAGGCAGGGGTGGGGATAGATGAACAGGGAAATTTATATGCATACTAGAGGCCCGGTGAACAAATTCATGCACAGGTGGGGTCCCTTGGCCTGGCTGGCGATTGGGGCTGATCAGGGCTGTCTCACCCAATCCCAATCAGGGCCCATTGGGGCCACCCATCCAAGGGGAAGGACCGCGGGTGGTTGGCCAGCCGCGGGAGGTTGGCTGTGGGAGCACACTGACCACCAAGGGGCAGCTCTTGCATTGAGCATCTGCACCGTGGTGGTCATTGCACATCATAGCTACTGCTGGTTGTCCAGTTGTCTGGTCTTCTGCTAGTAATAGTCACTTAGGCTTTTATATATATATAGACTAGAGTCCCGTGCAAGAAATACGTGCACAGGGAGGGGGGTCCCTCAGCCTGGCCTGCACCCTCTCGCAATCCGGGATCCCTTGGGGGATGTCTGACTGCCGGTTTAGGCCCATCCTGACCCTTGCAGGACCGGGCCTAAACAGACAGTAGGACATCCCTCTCGCAATGTGGGACCACTGGCTCCTAACTGCTCACCTGCCTGCCTGCCTTATCGCTCCTAACCACTCACCTGCCTGTCTCATTGCCCCTAACCACTCTCCTGCCTGCCTCATCACCCCTAACCACTCTCCTGCCTGCCTGATTGCCCCTAACTGCTTGCCGGCCTGCCTGATTGTCCCTAACCACTTGCCTGTCTGCCTGATCGCCTGTAACCACTCACCTGCCTGCCTGATTGCTCCTAACCACTTGCCTGCCTGCCTGATCACCCCTAACCACTCGCCTGCCTGCCTCATCACCCCTAACCGCCTCTGCCTGCCTGCCTCATTGCCCCTAACCACTCGCCTGCCTGCCTCATCGTCCCTAACCGCCTCTGTCTCAACCCCCACCACCACAGCCTCTTTGACTATGGGCATGACCATGTGACTCGCTTTGATAAAAAGAATGTTAGAGGATGTAATATAAGGGGAGGCTTGAAAAGTGCTTGAGCAGTTGCACTTGCCCTCTTGGACTCCTGCATTTCTCCATAAACAGAATGTGCCTCAGGTATCTGTCTATCCATTGAGGGTGAAAGACATGGTACGCACCTGACCCCAGCCACAACTTGGAGCCAGATCAGCTGACATCAGCCAGCTCACAGATGTGTGAGCCAACCTACAACAGCTGGTTGTTATTTGACATTGAGTTCTGGGGATAGTTTGTTATGCAGCATTATTGTGATAAGAGCTGACTGTTATGATCATCAAAGTCTCATATTTGGAGTGGGAGGTTTTAAATTAAACTTAAAGGGAGACAAAATATTTAGAAGTTAGGCTATAAATATACATCTAACTCAAACATTAGAGGTTTTATAAAATGTATTACCTTTTGAATTGAAAAGTATCATCCTCTCCAGCTGTCTACAGTCTATGGACAGACAGTACAGCTTTCCAAACCCCAGCAACAATGCATTGCCTGGCCTTCCATGAGTCTATAATGAAAAAGCTCATCTCACAGTATAGTTACTAAAAGGTAACATGAAGGAGATTGGGAAAATCTTAAACTCCAAGTTATTTAGGGCCCAAACACTTAAATTGGTTTTACTGAAAATGAACATTGTTTTGGCATGCATATTTTAAAAGGACATAAGACCTCAAATATTTGACAGTTTGAGGTTCAAGTTTTGGCTTTTTTGCCAGGATGGCTCTTTATTGTGCCAGACACCGGGATTCATGTTTCACAGCAGGTGGGAGCCTCTGTAATTTCAGCAAAACATTAGCACTTTCAGCCAAGGAAAATGCAGCTCACCAGTGAATGTTGCATTAGAAGAGGGAATAGAAGAGGGACTAGCCACAAAGTTGGACCCTCCTAGAGAAGGCAAGAAGGAAGGACCCTGCCCCTGGCTTCAGTGCCCTCTTGCTGTTCCAAATTTGAACAACAGGAAGTCTGGGAGAGCTTCCTAAACGCTGTTATCCTCAGAGAAGTAATCTGAAAGTTATTCTAGTTCCTTCTTTTCTAAGCAAATTAGACAAGCCATTACACCTTTATTTGAATTTTGGATTGAAATAGATTTTTTTTTGCATAATTTAGTCAACCTAATTAAATAAATATACTTGCCATTTATTTTGCTTCATAAATCCCTTTTTCATATCGGGATTGTAAAGGAGGGGGGGTTGATTCAATGGATCTATCATTTGGGGTAAATTGTTACAGCTTGCCTGAAAACTGTAAGTCTACAGCAGTTTCTTTCTTTGTGAAAAGGTAAAAAATGCCAATTCAATGTCAAAAATAGCATGTAAATAGCATAAATACATTTCACTCATTTAATAGTATCTTTGATCTTACAACTGATGAGATTAGTAGAATAGCATATGCTTTTGTAGTATTTTTAAGAAGATTATAAACTGTTACCATCACAATGTTCTTACACAAGGGAAATCTTCCAAGATTATAATGATTTTCTTTTCACTTACCAAAACAATATCCTTCGGTCGCTTTTGCTGGGTCTTGGCACAGTAAATTCTAAAAATCAGAATTTGAATCTTTATAAAAATCATCCATTGAAAAGCAGAATCTTTTAGTCTTTAGTTCTCAAAAAAAAAAATTCTTTGAGATCAACAAGTTTCAACATTTAAATATTAAAATATTCATACCATCATGTACATGAATTTTTTTTTTACCATTGTCCTTTTCATTTTAGGAAGAACTTGTATATATTGAAAACTTTAGTAGTTTTCCCCTTAATAAGTGCCAAAGTGGGAACAAAACAAGATAAAAGGTTGTATTCTAGACAGTTTCATTTAGCATAATTTCAACTTTCAAATCATAGGAACATGAATGAATGTCCTACTTCTGAGTTAAAAGTACTTGACTACTTTGTGGGATGTTTTGTGCCAATTCTTTACTAAATTATCTTGGTCGCCGTTGCTAGGTAACACCACTGGCTTCCAGCAGCTGAAAATGGAGAGGGTTGCAGGGAGCAATTCGGCATTATTAGCATTTGACTAATAAGGTTGTGTGTTTTTTAACTGTATATCTTAGCATTTCCCCCCTGTTCTAGGGAATGTCATTGTCTATGGAAATACACTCGACACTTACACGACAATAGAGATGCTCTTACACCTTGGCGTGAAGGGCTCCAACATCCACCTGGTGCAGCCCCCGCCCACTTCCAACATCACCTGCATCAACAACTATTTGGTGGAAAGCGCAGTGGAACACGCAATGCAAGCAGCTGGGGTCACCATCCACCTGGATGCGCTTCTGGCTCAGTGGAACGATGGCCAAGACCCAGACCCTATTCGCAGCGCCAGCTTCACCACGTTCACCAAGCCTTTCAAACTTCCGTGCTCCGTAAGTCGGTCCAGGGAACCTCCCTCGCTCACTGCCTCAGGACTTGAGGTCTGAAAGATGGTGGATGGTGAATTTACAGTCACGATTTGGGGGTTTGTTTTCTAATTGTTCAGTTTTTCTATTGCTGAGTAACAAACTTAGTGGTCCTGGGGGCTCAGCTGGGCAGTTCTCCCTGGAGGTCTCTCATGTAGTTGAAGTCAGACCATGGGTGAGGCTGGAATCTTCTAGGAGGTTATGTTCACCCATGTCTGGCTGTTGAAGCTAGATGAACTTAAATTGCAATTGTGACCAGGGCACTTATCAATGGCCACTTCATGTGACTGGACTTCCTCTTACTATGGTGACTTGGTTCTAAGAGCAACTGGGGGTGAGGAGAGAGAGAGAGAGAGAGAGAATGAATCACCTTTCCTGCCCCACCCTCGGAAGCCAAGTGGCATCACTGCACCTGCATTGTAGTCACTAGACGCCTCACTAAGGCTGACACTTAGTATACTCAAGGGGAGGGAATTAGACCTTGCCTCTTCATGGAAGGAATGTCAACCATTTAGTGCCAACATTGAGAGCTTGCCATGTCCCAGGCACAGTGCTGAATGCTTGCAGTGCATTCTGTCACCGCCTCACAACAGCTCTGTAAAGGCAAGCATCCCAGTTTACAGGCGAGAACATGGTGGCTCCAAGTAGGCAGTGTGCAGGGATACCAACCCAGGTCAGCAGGGCCCTTAAGTCTATGCTGCTGTTAACCTCTTAAGATTCTGGAAATACCAATAGTGAGTCTTTCTCCATGGAATAGAGACATAGGAGATATAGAGAGTGCCTTTTTTGGGGGGGTGGGGGGAGTGTAACAGCCCAACTTGCAACCTGTAGCCTCAGAGTTGCCAGTTCAGGAGATTACCATTTTTATTCAACTGGTAATACCTTCCTTTCTACACAGTATTCATTCCAGTCTGAAATTCTCTGATTATCTTTGAGATGATTTCCTTGGCATCCATCTCTTCAATTAGATTATAAACTCCATGTTTATCTTTTTCACCAAGATAATCTTGAGGCCTTGCACAAAAAAGTGTTTTTCTGCCCACAACTAACAGTATACTTGATGGTGAAAACCTTAGAGCTTTTCCTGTAAGATCAGGAACAAGATAAGGATGTCCATTCTCGCCACTTTTACTCAACATGGTTTTGGAAGTCCTCGCCAGTACAATTAGGCAAGAAAGAGAGAAAAAAAGGTTTCCAAATTAGAAAGGAAGAAGTAAAATATCACTGTTTGCAGATGATATGATATTATGTCTAGACAACCCTATAGACTCTATCTAAAAAACTCTTAGAATAAACGAATTCAGTAAAGTTGCAGGATACAAAATCAATACACAAAAATTTGTTTCATTTCTTTACACTAATAACAAACTATCACAAAGAGAAATTAGAACAACCCCAGTTAAGATTGTATCAAAAAGAATAAAATAACTAGGAATAAATTTAACCGAGGAGGTGAAAGACCTGTATATTGAAAACTATAAGACATTCATGAAAAAAAAATTGAATAAGACACAAATAAATGGAAAGCTATTTCATGCTCATGGATTGAATGATTTAATAATATTGTCAAAATGTCCATGCTACACAAAGCAGTATACAGATTAAATGCAATCTCTGTCAAAATTCCAATGGTATTTTTCACAGAAATAGAACAAACAATACTAAAACTCGTATAGATCCATAAAAGACACTGAATAGCCAAAGCAATCTTGAGAAGGAAGAAGAAAGATGAAAGCATCCCACTCCCTGATTTCAAACTATATTACAAAGCTTTAGTAATTAAAACAGTATGGTATTTGCATAAACATGGACACATAGATCAAAATAGAGAGCCCAGAAATAAGCCTATACATGGGTAATCAATTAATTTATGACAAAGAAGCCAAATATATATAATGGGAAAGTATAGTCTCTTCAATAAATGGCACTGGGAAAATTGGATGGCCATGTGCAAAATAATGAACTTGGAGCACTGTCTTACACCATACACAAAAATTAACTCAAAATGGATTAAGAACTTGAACATAAGACATGAAATCATAAAACTACTAAAAGAAAACAAAGGTGATAATTTCCTTAGCTTAGGTCTTTAAAAAAATTTTTTTATTGATTTCAGAGAGGAAGGGAGAAGGAAAGAGAGATAGAAACATCAATGATGAAAGAGAATCATTAATTGGCTACCTCCTGCATGCTCCGCACTGGGAATTGAGCCCACAACCCAGGCATATGCTCCAACTGGGAATCGAAATGTGAACTGCTGGTTCATAGGTCAACGCTCAACCACTGAGACATGCTGGCCAGACCTTAGCTTAGGTCTTGGCAATCATTTTTTGAATCTGACACCAAAAACAAAAGCAAAAATAAACAAGTGGGATTACATCAAACTAAAAAGCTTCTGCATAGCAAAGGAAACCATAAAAAAATGAAATAGCAACCCACTCAATGGAAGAAAATAACTGCAAATCATATGTCTGATGAGCTAATATCCAAAGTACATAAAGAGCTCATATAACTCAATAGCAAAAAACTTCCAAGCAATTTAATTTTAAAATAGGCAGAATATCTGAAAAGGCATTTTTCCAAAGAAGTCATATAGGTGGCCAACAGGCACATGAAGAGATGCTCAATATCACTAATCAGGAAAATGCAAATCAAAATCACAATGGGATATCACTTCACACTTATTAGAATGATTATTATAAAAAAGACAAGAAATAAAAAGTTTTGGTGAGGATGTGGAGAAAGGGACTTTGTGCACTATTGGTGGGAATGTAAATTGGAGCAGCCACCATGGAAAACTGTATGGAGGCTCCTCTAAAAATTAAAAAAAGACCTACCCTATGATCCAGCAATTTCAGTTCTGGGTATTTGTCTAAAGAAAATGAAAACACTAATTTGAAAAGATATATGCATCCCCACATTTATTATAGCACTAGAGGCCCAGTGCACAAAAATTTGTGCACTGGCAGGGGGGCGTGGGGGGTATCCCTCAGCCCGACCTGTGCCTGCAAATTTAACGGCCATCTTTGTTGGGTTAATTTGCATACTTTCTGATTGGCTGATGGGTGTGGCAAAGGTACGGTCTAGTAGCATCTTTGTCTTTTATTAGTGTAGATTATTTGCAGTAGCCAAGACATAGAAACAACCTAAGTGGATGAATGATAAATCATGATACACACACAAAATGGAATATTATTCAGCCATAAAAAGAATGAAATCTTGCCATTTAGGACAACATGAATGGAACTTGAGAGCATTATGCTAATTGAAGTAAGTCAGACAGAGAATAGCATCTTTGTCTTTTATTAGTGTAGATTATTTGCAGTAGCCAAGACATAGAAACAACCTAAGTGGATGAATGATAAATCATGATACACACACAAAATGGAATATTATTCAGCCATAAAAAGAATGAAATCTTGCCATTTAGGACAACATGAATGGAACTTGAGAGCATTATGCTAATTGAAGTAAGTCAGACAGAGAAAGACAAATACAGTATGATCTCTCTTAAATGTAGAATCTTGAAAAATACAGCAATCTTATAGATATAGAGAACAGATTGGTGGTTGCAAGAGGCAGGGAGTGGAGGTGGGAGAAAGGAGTGAAGTGTTTGTTTTTTAGTTTAAATTAAGGTACATTTTGTTAAAAAGAAGTGTTTGTCAGAATGCATGTTGAGTGAGGTTTATCAGATTGGTGACTCTTGATTTGCTAACCAGGGAGTTTTGTTCTTCCTAATCTGAGTTATACATATAAGTAGTGTTAAATACTTATTTAGAACAACATCAGTGTGGCCAGATGTTTTTACTTCATGTTTTATCCAATATGCAGTATTCAGTTGGCATTGCAGGAGCACATGAATTGTATTTGAGAGAGCTGTAACTTCAAGCACATGTTCCCATGAACAGTGTTAGATTTGCTTTTCCATCTAGTCCATAAACTCATGAAACCTCAAAGGCAGACAAATTATGAATGCCTACACCAAAACAGTGTAAAGTAATACCATTGCAATACTAGTAATTTTAAAAAACTCAGGAAAACAAGAATTAGTAGATTGAATATGCTATTTAACAAAAAGTAGGTTTAATTAGGAAAAGAATTGTTTAGGTAGAAGAACTTTTGTGGAGATAGTGAGGGGACTTTGAGCATTTTTGAGGGCTCAAGAGGTTGATGCTGCTGTTTTTTATATATAATTGTAATTCAAATCAAATGGCTTTCTATACTTTTTTCTGAAGATAATACAATTTATTTCGATAATAAAAAAGGATAATTGGGACATCCACAAAGATATAGAAATTAATATAATTCTAAAGAACAGTGGATTGAAAAAAGAAATAAAAAAGGGAAATTAGAAAATTCTTTGAGATGAATTAAAACAAAAACTAAACGTACCAAAACTCGTGAGTATAGCAAAAGTAGTGTTCATGTAACACAGTGAAATGCTTGCTCTCTCTGACTCTATCTTAATTCTAGCTACATTTTCCCCATGACCTTTAGGCAAATAGCTCTTCTTAAAAATAGGCTATTCATTAGAGGAATTCTGTTTAAGGCTTAAGTTTTTGCAAGAAGGGGAGGTTGATTTAACATCTAAAAATCAGTCAATGCAATACACCATCCTATATAATAAAAGGCTAATATGCAAATCAACCGAACGGCGGATAGACCAGTCACTATGAGGCACACTGACCACCAGGGGGCAGATGCTCAATGCAGGAGCTGCCCCCTCATGGTCAGTGTGCTCCCATACTGAAACCCCAGCTACACTTCTATATATATTTTTTTAAAAATATATTTTATTGATTTTTTACAGAGAGGAAGGGAGAGGGATAGAAAGTTAGAAACATCGATGAGAGAGAAACATCAATCAGCTGCCTTCTGCACACACCCTACTGGGGATGTGCCTGCAACCAAGGTACATGCCCTTGACTGGAATCGAACCTAGGACTCTTCAGTCCTCAGGCCGACACTCTATCCACTGAGCCAAACTGGTCAGGGCCACTTCTATATTTTTTATGAATGGGAAATCTATTTTTATATAGATGGGAAAAGAGTATAAGAGAGAAAAAATAGGAGTGAGAAGACAGATTCAGAATCAGAGACAGACTCAGAGAAAAATATTTTCCTTTGGTCACTGAGTAAGAGTTATAAAACAGGAAGAATTTTAGAGATTCAAAAGAAATAAGCTGTCTGAGACAGGAGTAACTGGGGTAGGGTTAAATAGCTGAATGAACAGACACAGAGAAAAGGAGAAAGATCCTTTTGGCTCCCTGAGTGAGAATAAAAGGCTTTACTGAGATGATGGACCTGAGTCTGTTACTGTCCAATAGAGCTTTCTTTGATGATGGAAATGGTCAATATTTGTGTTGTCCAATATGGCAGCAACTAGACAGCTGTAGCTTTTTAGCATCCTATATAATAAAACCCGAATATGCAAATCAACCCAACAGTGGAACGACCAGCAGAACGACCAGTTGCTATGATGTGCACTGACCACCAGGGGGAGGCAACTGGCATCGGTGTTTGGGGGGCGGGGCCAGTGAGGGGGCGGTGCCAGGCTGCCAGCCAAGGCGGGTGCCAGTGGGGGGGCCGCCCAATCGCCCTGCCCACCAGTTGCCCCACAGATTGGCCCTGATCGTTGGCCAGGCCTAGGGACCCTACCCTATATATTGGGAACAGTCTCTTAGATTTAAAAATTAAAACCTGGCAAGGCTACTCTAACACTGAAAAAACAGGATGATGCAACGATAACATGCATGGTCTCTGGCTTGGCCATTTTGTGGTCAGCCCTGATTCTGACACTTATAACTGTGTGACAAAACCAATTATTTAACTTCTCTCTACTTCAGTTTTTCCACCCATAAGATGGAGAAAATGGTACTACTGCCTCAAAAGGATCATGTTATGTACTACTTCTTATAATCAGGGAAAAAAACTGTAGCTGCCCATACAACAGCAAGATGCCTTTCACCTTTATGAAAAGTATGGTCACTGGCATATGCAGCGTCCCAGATTGCGAGAAGTATGTCCAACTGTTGGTTTAGGCCTGATCCCCATCCCCTGAGGCAGTCAGACATCCCCCGAAGGTGCAGGACGGACTGAGGGGACCCCTCCCCACACCCCTATGCATGTATTTTGTGCACAAGGCCTCTAGTTTGAAATAAGCTACTACTGTTACCTGATGAGGCTCCGGGCCCAGAGTGGGTCTACCTCAGTGTAGTGTGTGAGTTCTTGACTTCATGTAGGAAAGATTTCACAGTACAAATCCAGGTGATTTTGAAAGTACATTTATTAAAGCTGGGGACAGTGAAACAAAGGAAGGTTTTAGGGTAAAGGAAACAACTAGAGAGAGCTTAGGTGGTGCTCTTCTTTGGCTCTCTAGGAATTTATAGGAAAGAAGTGAGCCAAGGTGGGGCTGCCATTAGCTAACTGGGAAGTAAAGGAAAGTTAGAGAAAAAGGGGGCCTTGGAGACAGGATCAGCGGTAAGCCCAGCATGAGTTGCCATTGCTCACTGCTCCCCTGGTTGCAAGTCTCATGGGGACCCTGAAAGTTAGGGGGAAATAAAATTTTCATGCTTGAAAAGGGGCATGAGCATGCTCTAGAGCAGTGGTTCTCAACCTGTGGGTCGCGACCCCTTTAGGGGTCGAACGACCCTTTCACAGGGGTCGCCTAAGACCATCGGAAAACACAAATATAATTACATATTGTTTTTGTGATTAATCACTATGCTTTAATTATGTTCAATTTGTAACAATGAAAATACATCCTGCATATCAGATATTTACATTATGATTCATAACAGTAGCAAAATTACAGTTATGAAGTAGCAACGAAAATAATTTTATGGTTGGGAGTCACCACAACATGAGGAACTGTATTAAAGGGTCGCAGCATTAGGAAGGTTGAGAACCACTGCTCTAGAGCGAAACCACACTGAGTTTTTGTCCTGAGGGTTTTTATGTTTTTTTTTGCAAGGGAGAATCTTAGGGGAGGATTTCCGTAAAATATTCATCAGCTCTCCAGGTGAGTTTTTAATATGCTGATGCATCAAAATGAGTGTAGAGGAGAGTTTGGGATTATTATTTGGTTTACTTTACTGTTTTACTCTTATCTTGGGTCTGTCTGGTTCCAATCAGGATTTTGTTATTTGTTCCCCTGATTTCCTCCGTCCTTGATTTAGGGAAGATAAGGTCTTTTAATTCACTAGCTAGCGGTAAGTTGTTCAATTTGTTTGGCCTTGTTTAATTATCTTGTCTCAGTTTCCCTATTCCACTTGCCTAGGAATTTCCCTAGCTTCTTACTATCCTGCCTCAGTACAACTGTGGGTCTGGATTTTAAAGTTTGTTTACTTTTAATTAATTTAGATTTAAATTTACATAGTTATGCATGACTAGTCTCTACCACAGGATTAAAAATCATTCATGTACCATTCATGGGTGTAGGGAAGGGATGTGAAAGAGGGTTACCTTTGGTCTAGAACAGCTAATTTTTATACAGAACGAGGCAAGTAAGGTGGGTAAAGCAAGCTTGTGAAGGAAGCAGGGAGGCAGCCATCAGGATTATGAGGATCCATATCATGTTTTTATTTTTAGCATGTTTAAAATAAGGTGGCAAACTATATTTAGGTAAAAATAAAATGATTAAACTTATCTCAACTGCTTCAACCACAACGAAGGGCTTAAAAACAACTAACTTGCACTGTTTTAATGATGTTCAACATCAACTTAGAAGAAGATGTTCATATGAGCCTGAGAAAGCATTGAAATTTGGGCAGAGAATGGGGGGAGGGCATGCAGATCACTTCTAAGGAGTATGTAGAGGGCTTTGTGACCTTTGGTAGGTACTCCATAAATATTTATTCAATGACTGTGTGCCATATCAGGGCAGAAAGCAACAAGGGAGGAGCCCAGACATGCTAGATGCTGAGGCTGATGGAGCTCTCATCTTCTCTGGGGCATCTGACAGGTCAGGCTTTAGGGGTTTAAAAGGCCAGGAATGATGGGGCAATTTGACAACTCAAGATTAGATGAGGTGACTGTAAGAAGGAACCTAGAGAGACCTAAATGTCAGACACATGAATAAGAAGAGGAAAATGGAAGGGGGCTGAGATAGAGTTATTTTAAATATAGAAGAATGAGCCCTAGCCAGTTTGGCTCAGTGGATAGAGTGTCAGCCCTTGGACTGAAGGATTGTGGGTTTTATTCCAGTCAAGGGCATGTATCTGGATTGCAGGCTCAATTCCCAGCCCCATTCGGGAGGCAACCAATCAATGTCTCTCTCACATGGATGTCTTTCTCTCTCTCTTTCTTCCCCTCCTTCCCACTCTCTCTAAAAAATCAATGGAAAAATATCCTCAGGTGAGGATTAACAATAAATAAGCAAGTAAATAAATAAATAAATAAAACTAGTAAAATATAGAAGAATGGGGAAAGTGGTGTCCCATGAATTGTAAACCTCTTTGTGGGGAAAAAAAATATTGACTCTTATGATAGCTATTTCATCTTTTGGCATCCTCTCCACTGGATATCTAGATTGAGTGATAAAAAAATAAAAGAGTGACATTGGTTGATCATAATTTGTTCTTCGTAGCAAACAGTAGTCTCTCTCTCTCTCTCTCTCTCTCTCTCTCTCTCTCACACACACACACACACACATACACACACACACATGCACACACACACACGATTATAACAAACTTTTAGTAGACCTAGATTTGTGTGTGTGTCCCCCTGTTGATTGTTCACACTCTTGGGAAGGTAAAGAGTGATAACTAAGTAACAGTGTAATTGCTCACTTGGTAGGTATTCTTCAGCTTCTGTGAGAAGAATGTGGATTATGAAACATTTAAAGCATTCAATGATGCATGTCTTGTCTATGATGGCCGACTTGTGATCGATGCGAACTTCCACACCAATGACATAGCCATCAGAGCTGCTGGCTCCCTCACCAAATACTCCAGTAGATATTACTCAAGGGATTGGTCTCACAGAAACTTCAGTTCCAAAGAAGTTGGCTTCCAACTGGCAGCAGCTATGCTCTGTCTCTTTGATCCAACCCTCGAGCCTGTGACCGAGCCACCGGCTGATCTTGACCGACTCATTCCCACGTACAAGGCAGCCAAGATCCAAGGTGTGTGGTAAGCCACCTTCTTCCCCCTGATGAAGCCAGCAGTTGGTCTGGGTCAGTGCTCAGGGCAGCCCTCCATCTTTCTCTTAGGCTTGGTGAGGAGACCTCTCTGCACAGAAACAGAGGAGGGCTCTCTCTCTCATTTTTTTACGCATTTATTATGGACATAGCATTATTATTATCATGGTCCTTTGCAATTTTAGCATTTATTATAGACTATATAATAACTGTGTTTAAGCAGACTGGAGCATGATCAGAAGTTACTCACAACTTGTCATAATGGTATAATGCTTTGACGTCTTCCCAAACTTTCATTCTCACTATAAGTTCAGAGATAAAGAGACCCTTCCAAGCATCCCAGGCCTTGGCTGCTATCTGGATGGATAAGCCAAACCATTTGCAGCTGTAAACGTCACATTCATCTGTTAAGTCTTGTTGACCTCTAAGGAGATCATATGAGTAACACAGGATTTCTTTATGTTTGAGAGTTGAGAGATACCTTTGGAAATAGTGTCTTTGAATGTTACAGACCTTCTACTAGAAAAAAAAAATGCATATACTTACAAAATTTTGTTTACTTCCAAAAGGTTGAAGGACTAATACCCAAACCATCCATAGACCCCCCCCCTAGGGCAGTGGTTGGCAAACCGCGGCTCTTGAGCCACATGCGGCTCTTTGGCCCTTTGAGTGTGGTGCTCTTCCACAAAATACCACAAAATACCACGTGCGGGCGCGCACGTACAGTGCGATTGAAACTTCGTGGCCCATGCGCAGAAGTCAGTATTTTGTGGAAGAGCCACACTCAAGGGGCCAAAGAGCCATATGTGGCTCGCAAGCCGTAGTTAGCCGAGCCGCAGTTTGCCGACCACTGTCCGAGGGTGTCCATGGACCCTAAGCCAGTAAATAGACATCAGACTAAAGAGACAAAAGCCCTATATTCCAGATCTTATCTTTTTCTACCTATCTAAATGGCCTCAGAGAAGTCCTGCTCTGCTTCTCATTCTCGATGAGACCAGGGGAAAGAGGAAGAGAAGGGATGGGTGTCAGAGACCAGAGTTAGGTCAGGCTCATACTTCTGGGACAAACTAGAAATATTAATACTTTGATAATGATCGTTTTCTACAACATTGAACAAGAAATGTATTGATTTTCCTTATAACATTCACTTTCAAAATATTTTTTTAAATATTGGAGGAATGATGGGGAAAACCATTGCAACATTTAGACTCTAAAGGTCTTGGTTTGGCTTTGGCAGGTAGAGTGACAGGAGTTATGAGAAATCAAAGGATACACAAGATCAGCTTAGCATATCTTCTTGGAGCACTGTTGGCTACATTATGGGGTATAATGGTACATTCACACTGATTTTGTTAAGTAAATCCCAGCCATCCCAGTCCTTATTGGGAATGTTTGAGTAGCATACACCATTATAGGCATCTCCATTTGTCCTGTAGTACAGATATAAGCTCACTCACCTTATTAACATGTTACCTACCTTATTAACAATTAATTAAAATGTGGAAACCTTGCCATTTCCTCTAGGAGGCATTCTTCCTGGGTCTTACCATTATCTGCATATCAGCAAGCCTGCCATTCCATCTCCCTTGGAGGTACAAATGGCCCAGCCAGATTTTGTAAGTATTATTCCTAAATTTCATTTAACTTTCAAATATAACACTTCGTGTACAGGGGTGAAAAATTATTTATTCAGATCTTTAGTGTAACGTATTGGTTCATGCATCAGAAAGCCACTGCAGTCGCCAGCCCTCAAGATGGCCCTCAATGACTCCTGCCTCTTGGTATTCATGCCCCTGTGTGCTCCCCTACCACGCTGAATAGGGCTGACCCCTGAAGCCAACAGGATTTTGTGGAAATGACAGTTTGAGACTTCCAGTGCTAGGTCACGAAAGATATTACAGCTTCAAACTTGCACCACTCCCAGTTTATACAAGCTTATTGTTTTTACCCACTGATTGTTTTTTAATAGATTTTTTAAAGAGCAGTTTTAGGTTCACAGCAAAATTTAGAGGAAAATTCAGAGATTTCCCATATACCCCCGCTCCCATTCATGCATACTGTCCCCATTATCAACATCCCCAATCAAAGTGGCACATTAGTTATGATTGGTGAACTTACATTGATACATCATTACCACCCGAAGTCTATAGTCTACATTAGAGTTGTATATTCTAGGGATTTGGGCAAATGTATAATGACATGTATCCATCATTAAAGTATCATACAGAGTAGTTTCACTACCCTAAGAATCCTCTGTGCTTCACCTCTTTATCCTTCTCTCATCCTTAACTCCTGGAACCCACTGATCTTTATACCATCTCCATAGTTTTGCCTTATCCAGAATGTCATATAGTTGGAATTGTGTAGTATGGAGCCTTTTCAGATTGGCTTCTCTTTTTCAAATTTAATTTAATTTTCCCCATCGCCATTTTATCCCTCTATGCCCTCTTCCACTTCCCTCTTTCTCCCCCCACCCCCATTTGCTTCTCTCACTTTGTAATATGTATTTGTGTGACATGGCTTAATAGCTCATTTCTTTTTAGTGTTAAACAGCATTCCATTATCTGAATGTCACAGTTTACTTCTTCATTCACCCCATTTGCTTCTCTCACTTTGTAATATGTATTTGTGCTACATGGCTTGATAGCTCATTTCTTTTTAGTGCTAAATAGCATTCCATTATCTGAATGTATCACAGTTTACTTCTTCATTCGCCTATTGAAGGACATTAAGCCACTAAGTTTTGAGGTAACCTGTGATACAGCAATAGATAACTAAAACAACTACCTTCATGGCAACATAGCAAGTGAATTGCATAGGGTTTGGAATGTCCGTGAAACCCTGTTGTTCTTCTGCCCTCCCTGAATTACACAAGAAGGACCATCCAGAAGATGCAGAAGTGTAATGAGGGGACGTCCCTGGGTCCAAGATAACCAGAAGGACACATGTGGTTGGTCAGGTGGCAGGCTCCTCAAATAAAATTCTCTGACAGATGGACCCAAAGTTGTGTTTGTGGTCAACTGGGGGTTTTCTTTCTGACGTGTCACGTTTGCTTTTTTTTTTTTTTTTTTTTTTTTTTTTTTGTGAGTCAGACACTGGAAGTTGGCACCATAACCTCTGTTGCCATTTTCATTTCCTGAGTATTTTGGGGTGTTAATGATAATGACCAAAGTAATCACATTTCCCAGATTTCCTTCAGAATACAATCAGCCCCGTGGCAGGTTCTTGTCAGTGAGATGTAAGTGGATACTATTGGAAAATTCCTCGAAAGGGGGGCAAACTCAAACTGTCCAGACTCTTGGCCCCTCACCCTTCTCCCTTCGGGAAGTTGGAATCCCAGCTCTTCCATATACTTCCCATGGACTTTGGAGAAATTATTCCATTTATCGGGGTGTCTGTGGTTCTTAGGGATCATATATAGAGTAAAACTGCCTTTTAGGAACAAAACAGGTGACCAATCAGTGGTGGATGTTGTTAATCATAGTTCCAGATAAATAATGAAATCTGTTTCCTCCAGGGAAAGGGAAAATGCTGTGTTTAAACCTTATTTGCCTCGGGCCTCTCCCAGACTCTTTTAGGGGTGCTTTTTTATATGTGGTCTAATGAAAGATTTTCTTACAAATAAAGGATCGAAGCAAATAATGTTCCAGTTTCTGTTGCTATGTCACAGAAATGAAGCAGCCATTTGGTTCTGCTCAGATTCTGTGGGTCAGGAATTCAGACAGGACACAGTGGGAAGGGCTTGTCACTGCTCCACAATGTCTGGGGCCTCAGCGCAGAGACTTGAAGGTTAGAGGCAACACAATGGTTGGATCCTCTGAAGGGCTGGAATGATTCAAACACAGCGTGCTGACCAGAGCATCACACCGGAGCTGTCCGTGTGACCTGGGCTTCCTCACAGCCTGGCAACCTCAGAGTCGTCAGATTTCTTATGTGACAGCTCAGGGCTCTGAGCGCAAGTGTCCCCACTAGCAATTAGTAGCTGCATTGCTTTCCATGACCGGCCTCGAAAGTCACACAGCACCACCTCCTTCACGCCCTCGGTTGGCCCAGTCACAGCCCACCAGGATTCAAGGAGAAGGGACGTAGAGTTCATCTCTCAGTGGGAAGAGTGTCAAGGTCTTATTGTAGAAGACTGTGAGCGATGGAGGATATTGTTGTGGCCATCTTTGTGGAATACAATCTGCCACTGATGAGATGGGGCATTTCATGAACGGGATGAAGCCCAGATGATGTGTGCAGAGGCTGAGCGCTTTGGTCATCGTAGATAAGTAATTGGAGCCAAAGATGTTCAAGATGAAAAATACTGGGCGTGGTTTCAGACAGAACCAGATCCTTTGAGGACACTGTGATTTCCTACGCACAGTGTCTTTTATTTATGAGCCATGGCTGTCTCTGAATAAAGTCCGAGGAGGAGCCAAGGGGATTTTTAGGTAATGAGGGTCTGAATAAGAAGGCCACATGAACAGATCCTTTGGCTGGCACGATGACGGTATTTGAACAGGATCCCTGACTGTAATGAACCATTTTGCCAGGTGTGCCTCCTTTTTAATAAGTACAGAAGATCTAAACAGGTTTTTTTTTCCATTTTATTCTCCCAGAAAAAAAAATGTAGGATGGTTCCATGGCAATCTTTTGGAGTTGGAATTAGTTTGATTAAGTAAAATTGTTGCCAAAATGGTCAGGCAATCACCTAAATATAGCCAGTTGGTCAAGGGTGGAGCTACTGAACAATATTTCACTAAAGAAACGAAATTCCTATTTTTACCATAAATGTAGTGCAGATTTCGGACTTTCATAGCGCTCATGAATTGGGATGTTTAGTAAGAAGTGTCTTTATTAATTCATGAGCTCTCTGAGAGGTAGTCTGACAAAAGGAAGAAAGGGACCTCAAGTCGTCTCCATAATGAACTAATCTTTACAGATTCCAGTCCACATGCTTTGTTGGCTGTACACCACAGAGCAAAGGAATTTGTCACAACAAGTTCTGCCGTGGATACCATTAAATTTAAAATTGTGCGTTTATCATGAGACTTGGGAACTCCATTTCTTGCACACCAGGTTTGATTAATCCTGTGTCTTCCATTTGGCATACATTCCAGAGCCATTTCCCAACTTTTGTCAAAATCATAAAGAAACTTGAAAGGGTGATTGTATCCAAAGGAAGGAAAAAGAAACACACCGGAACCAGTTACTTCATTAAAATCTTACATTCAAGATCCAAGTTTCCTAATAACTTGCTTATATACATAAAAGGAGAAACTGGACACACACCCCAGAATTAGAAAGTGTGTGAAACCATCATCATTACTCCTAGGACCCCTCAGGGGATGGCAGAGCTGGGAGCTGCCTTGTCATTAGGGGAGCGATTTTCTGGGAGGAGAGGCAGGCTTTTCCCAATCTGTGAGCAACCGCACAGGAAGGACCTAAGAAATGTAGATGGGTCTGCCTGGCCCTCCAACGGTAATCTGTCTGAGAAACCCATCTGTAGGTGAATTGTCCTTAATGTCAGTACAAAAATGCTGAGGCATTCCAAATTCCCAGAATGCGCCCCACCCCCACTGAGGTAACAGAGTGCCACATCTCATGAAGCGGACACAATTACTTCTTTTGTTAATATTAGCCATCATAGCACAAGTCATTTCTTTCTCTCCAGCGCGACCACTTTCTGCATTCTTTAAGCCCTCATAGCCATGATGTGCGAAAACATACAGAGGCAACCCAAAGATTAGAATCCAATTTTTAAATTAAAAAGTGAGACCAAAAATAGCCCCCAAACAAACAGATCGCGATAAAAAGTCATTGAGAATGATGCTGACAAGGCAGCCTTCTTGGACCCGGCTGACATCCAAGGGCTCATCTGCTCAGACTCCTTGCTGTCGGCCAGCAGCCTTCTTGGGCTCCACCTCACAGTGGCCCAGACCATCCCCGCTAAACACAGGACCTGTGAGTGGAAGGTGGAGTGTTTAGAGAAAGGCTGCCAGGTTAAAACTTTGTCAGCCACTTGGGCACATCTCGTGGGGTGCCCCTTTGATGCCTGGGTTCCCTTTCTTAATCCTTCAGCATAAAGAAATTTTAAAGAGGAGGAGGAGGGGTCATGACCTTGTGGGGTGGCTGACTCTGCTCTTCAGTGAGCCCTGGAGAAGCCTGGTGCTAAAACTGTGCCAAAGCTGCTGACAGGGCCCTCTCTCTGGGACCCCAGCCACCCTCCCACCACTGCGAGGGAGTGGCCCTCCTCAGGCACTCACTCAGCTTTCCCAGGCATCCCTCCTGCAAAGGGCCTTCCCAGCCTAAAGCTGCTGGCACCAACTCAAATGGCCTTTAAGTCTTGCATCAGGTGTTAGAAAGGTGCATGAAGGGCACATTCGTCACTCTCATAGTCTATGTGTATTTAATTCAGAAATAGTGTTTGCTGTGATGGAGTTGATTCTGTGATGAGAGATTATTCTGTGATGCCAAGTGCCATAGCCTGGTGTGTTCATTGCTCCATCTGAGAAGTCAAAAATTCCTGAGGATGCCCAGGTGGTGTGGCTCAGTGGTTGAGCATCGACCTAGGAACCAGGAGGTCATGGTTCGATTCCCCGTTTGGTTGGGGCACGTGCCTGGGTTGCTGTCTCGATTCCCAGTGTGGGGTGTGCAGGAGGCAGCTGATTAATGATTCTCTCTCGTTATTGATGTTTCTATCTCTCTCTCCCTCTCCCTTCCTCTCTGAAATCAATAAAAATATTTTTTTAAAAAAAGAATTCCTGAGGAAACAGATCTGAATTAAAAAGTGTGTGTGGTGATCTGGGACCAGAAAAATGCTGTGGCAAGAACAAAGGGTAAGGGGGCGATTAGATAAGGACACCAGAAAGTCTGCAGCCTGTGGCTCAAGCTGGCTTTTTCCAAACTCTTCTCCTGACAAACCCTACCCTGCCACAGTTCCCCCTCCCTCCCTCCCTCCCTCCCTCTCCCCCTGCTACATTCCCCCTCCCTCCTTCTCTTCCTTCCTCCCTATTTTCTTTCCTTTCTTCCTCCCTTCCTCCCTTCCTCCCTTCTTTCCTTCCTTCCTTCCTTCCTTCCTTCCTTCTCTCCCTCTTTTCCTCTCTCCCTCTCTTCCTCCTTCCCGTTCTTCCCTCTTTCTTCTGCTTTCTGTTTCATTTCTCTTCCTCTCAATTTTTTTCACCAGAAGTCTAGTTCATTGCCACAGCACAGCCAGAGTATTTTAAAATAACTTATCATTTTAGAAGTGGTAGTCATTGTTTAAAAACTAGAAATGCTATGTAGCCAAATGAACAGGAAGAGAAACAACAAAAATGACCCAGTCTCCCAACCTCAGAAAATGACATTTGTTAAAATTTTGATTAAAAAAGGGAATTATCTGTACATTTTAAAACTGCTTCTATAGTATAAAATGTACTGTAAACGTATTTCCCTATATTATAAAAATACAGTTTACCAATAAATTCTATTGGATGTGTTGTACCTTATCATTAGGATGTACCATTGTTTTGTTAGGTAATGCCTTGCTGAATTGTTCTTTTTAATTCTTTCCTATGCAGGTAGATTTTCTCTCTGTATCCATCCATCTCTATGAATGATGGGCAGCTTGCACCCCCCCCCAACCCTTTTACTAAGTTATGTTTGCTCTCCCTCCCACCCCAAACACCCAATTTCTCACACATACTTGGGGCTGGCCCAGGATTTACCTGATATCCCTCCTGTAAACCTCACCTTGTACCTTCTCAGGGTTTTTGCCATATGATATCCAAACACCCACCGGTTGCTTCAATATATTTAAAAATCCAGTTAAACTGTGTGTCCTTGTTTAGACAAAATCCCCAGGGGATGTCCAGGACTAAGTAAATGTTTGAGATCAGTGTAGTCCAACTTGCCTTGGATTTATAAATGCCACATTCAAGTTCAGAGCAAAACCTTAAATCTATATGCACTCAGGAGAGATTTATTGAGTGTGACCCTGAGTCTAAGTTCAGAGTCTGGGGGTAAACTGAAGGTTCATCCACCATCAACAAAACCTATTTGTCTGCCACAGGTTCTCAGTTTGGTTGCCTGAGCCTGTGGGGAGTGTGTCCTGGTTGGTAGGTCGGTAGTCATTAGGGGCTGAAATAGGAAAGGTGGTGGTGACATGGAATAGAATGTCATCTTTCCTTGTCATCTGGGCTTCCATGGCAGTGTCAGCCAGTCTCTAGGGGACATAAAGCTTTGACAGCTACAAGCGAAAATGTGGCCTGCAGAATGTGTACGTGTATTTCCATAAACTTGAACCTTCTCCCTGGAAACAGACCTTCCCAAACAGCCAAACCTCCCCAAACCAACCTGTCAGACATTCGCCTTTTACTCATTTCCTTTATTTAAATAAACTTTAAAAAGTGAAATTCTTTCTGATCATTTTTGGCTAGGAGGTTTTCTCAAAACAGTGCTGTGAAAAAACTACGAAAATGAGCAGTCTTAACACACATTATGGAGCAGAGTAAACCCAGCCCCACATATTAGCTGTGTGAGGTTTTGAGGATTAGAGAATTGGCTGTAACCTAGCAACTAATTTAGAAACTCTGAACAATGCAATCACAGATTAAAACATCCCGAGGAACACTTAGTCATTAAGTCCAAGTCTGTGCTTTCAGACACAGCTATCTTCTGTTGAGTTTAGTCAATATCTGTTAGAGTTATTTGCAACGAGCCATAAGATATAACCTAGTTTGTTATATTTGGAAAATTAATTGCTATGATAAAGTTCCCAAAGTTCAGAAATGTTTCTAATGTTGTTTTTTCTGATCCATTCCCCTCCAGGGTACAGAAATAGTAACAGGTAAAGCAAAAAGAGGCACTTATTTCCGAATACATATTAACGACTGTAAAATAGTGGAGGCCATAACGTGCCTCTCTAAGGAGCCTTTCCCTACCTCCAACTACATTCGCTTGTATGGGCAGCATGAGCAACTCCTCAACAACCTGTGTGCTCGGTTTGAGAACAAGATGATCCCAGATCTCTACCGGTAAGTTGGACCGTGCATTGTACTAAGGGGAAATGCAATACTAGTGTCTTATGAATGAAGGGTGTGTTTTGTGATATACCAGATAGCAAAACAGGAATCCATGGGAGAAGCTAGAGTGGCAGAGATTTCATCTATATACAGTGGGGCCTTGACTTACAGGTGTCCCACTAACGAGTTTTTTGAGATACCAGCTGTCTCTCGGACAATTTTTTGCATTGAGTTGATAGAGTGATTTGAGTTAACGAGCTCCTTAACGAGCTCGGTCTCGGAACGAATTAAACTTGTAAGTCAAGGCTCCACTGTATATAAAAGCCTAAGCAACCGAATGACCAAACAACTGGTCGACCAGTCGCTATGATGCACACTGACCACCAGGGAGGAGATGCTCAACCCAGGAGCTTCCCCCTAGTGGTCAGTGCGCTCCCACAGTGGGAGTGCTGCTCAACTGACCGATGGGCACCAGACACCATGGCTGGCAAGCGCAGCTGCGGCACTGCATGCCTCTCCCACCTCCGCGGCAGCGCTATGAGCAGCAGCGGCAGCGGCAGGGATGAGCTGGAGCAGTGCGCCGCCTGGGCCGGCTCAGGCTCCTCCCTGGCCGCCTGCCGCTTCTCGCACTACTATATCCCTTGGGGGATGTCGGACTGCCGGTTTTGGCCTGACCCCCTCCAGGGCCTGCAGGGATCAGGCCGAAACCAGCAGTCCAACATCCCCTGGATTGCAAGAGGGCGCAGGCCAGGCTGAGGGACCCCACTGGTGCACGAATCCATGCACCAGGCCTCTAGTTCTCATATAGTAAATAACATCTGACCACTAGCATTGAGCACTAGCATTGAAGGTGGAGAGTTACATGGGGAAGTGCATGGACTCCAGATGTATCCACACATAGCTCCCATGGCCATGCACAGGCCTGAATCCCAGATGCACCCATTACAGCCTCCACACCGTGGGTAGGCCTGGATGCGATGATTTTCGAGTTCCTTTGACCCAGGGCTGGTAAGAGCAGTGGTCAGAAATTTAAGAGGTAATTCTGGGAACAGGATAGGAAAGCACTTAGTCCTGGTGAGAACTCCACAACCACAAACATGCTGTTCATGACCCCAGCTGTCTTCCACCCAGCTTGTGCTCAAGCAGGGAAAGGCGGCCATTTGTCTGAGATATTGTTAAGGGAATTCTGCGCTGGCAGGTTGGTTTGACTGGGTGATCTAGATCTTGATCTTTCAAATTCTAAAACACTTGTTTATCCTACAACTCTAGGAAGGCTAATATTCCAGAGTAGAAAGCTACTTCTGGTATAGTCTGGTGCTTAGAAAGGAGCATTTTCCTCTATTTACACTAAAACAAAGTGATGACAGGGCCGGTTTACGGTATCTTTTGGCTGTTCCCCACCTCTTTCTCCAAAGCCACAAACCCCCAGACTCTCCTCAGGCAACTCCAGTCTGCCCTGCTCTCCCTCCACTGGAGCCCAGCGTGATGGGCTGCGAAAGAAATTTTGTGTGGGGGCCCTTTAAGAGGGTGCCTGTGTCTCCTGTGGGCTCTGCCTCTCCGTGGCCAACAGAAACCTTGCTGCTTGTCACAGCTGGATGCTATGTGGGCCCCTCTTCCTGGCTCTGGCACTGCAAGCTGGGGAGCTTGGCTGGGATCTAGGCTTCATGCCTCTCTGGGCAAGCCCCTTTCTGGTCTCTGCCCTTCCTACCAGTCTCAACATGGCTTCTTCTGTGATACATTCACACAATGGAATACTATGAGGCTCCCCAGAAGAAGGAACTCTTACCTTTTGCAATAGTATGGATGGACCTGGAGATTATTATGCCAAGTAAAATAAGCCAGTCAGAGAAATACCATATGATATCACTAAGATATGGAATCTAATGAACAACATAAACTGACAGCCCTAGCTGGTTTGGCTCAGTGGATAAAGCGTCAGCCTGCAGACTGAGGATCCCAGGTTCGATTCCACTCAAGGCCACATGCCTAGGTTGTGGGCTTTATCCCCAGTAAGGGGTGTCCAGGAGACAGCCATATCATTGATATTTCTATCTCTCTCTCCCTCTCCCTTCCTCTCTGAAATCAATAAAAATATTTTTTAAAAATAAACTGACAAACATTAGAAACATATGCATGGATACGCGGAAAATCTGACAGCTATCAGAGGGGAGGGTGGCATGAGAAACTAGATGACAAAAGGTGAAGGGATTAGCCAAAGAATATATATACATAACCCATAGACTCAGACACAGTGTGGTGATAGCCAGAGGGAGAGGGGTGGGGCTGAGTAGATGGGGGAGGCAGGGCATAGACTCAGACAACAGTGTGGTGATAGCCAGAGGGAGGGGGGTGGGGCTGAGTAGATGGGGGAGGCAGGAAGGGGGTATGGAAACATCTGTAATAGTGTCAACAATCCTCCTATATAATAAAAGCCTAATATGAAAATCGCCTGAACCGTGGAACGGCCAGTCGCTATGATGCACACTGGCCACCAGGGGGCAGACACTCAATGCAGGAGCTGCCCCCTGGTGGTCAGTGCGCTCCCACAGGGGGAGGGCGCTGCTCAGCCAGGCTCCCACAGGGGGAGCGCTGCTCAGCCAGAAGCCAGCAGGTGGACATCCTCCAAGGAGTCCTGGACTGTGAGAGGGCACAGACTGGGCTGAGGGACCCCCCCTTCCCCCAGTGAATGATTTTCGTGCACCTGGCCTCTAGTAAAAAAATAAAAAAATAAAAATGTGCCACATATATATGATTTCCTAAAAAGTAGATCAATTTCTTTTGCCTTCTTTGAATTGATTTTGTGGCTGACTAGAGAAAGTCAATACCATTTAGCACGATGTTTATAAGGTCCCTCATGGTGATGTTTGTAGTGCAGTTCAATTATTTCCCTGCTGTATAGTATTCCCTTATATAACTGTGTCACTATTCATCCGTTTTCCCATTAATTGGTATTTAAATTGTCCCTAGTTTGATGCCACAACCACAGCTGCAAGAAATTCTCTCGGGTGAACTAGGTGATGCTGAAATGTTCCCAAAAGTAGTTTTTATCTATTGAACCCTCTCCAGCAGGGCATGAGAGCACCTTCACAACCCTGGCAATCTTTACACCAGTGGTTCTCAACCTTCTGGCCCTTTAAATACAGTTAGTTCCTCATGTTGTGACCCAACCATAAAATTATTTTCATTGCTACTTCATAACTGTAATGTTGATACTGTTAGGAATCGTCATGTAAATATCTGATATGCAGGATGGTCTTAGGCGACCCCTGTGAAAGGGTCGTTCGACCGCCAAAGGGGTCGCGACCCACAGGTTGAGAACCGCTGCCTTACACTGTTATGCTTTAAAATTTGTCTATTCTGGTGGTTTGAAAAGGTGTCTTCCTGTGGTTTTAATTTTCCCTTTCCTGATTAATGACAATTTAGTGCCTTTTTATTTGTTTATGGGCCATTTGTGGTAGTTCCTGTTATGACCTTTGTCCATGTTTTGTTTGTGTGTCATGTTTTTCCTGATTTACAGGGTCATTCATATATTCTGGATGCAAACTTATGTTGGTTATGTATCCTTAATATAACTTCTCCCATTTTGAGGTTTGTCTTTCCACTTATTTATGGTGTCAATTAACAGATGTTCTTAATTTTAACGTAATCTGTTTGCCTTCTTTGGGGTGTCTTGGATATTTTTATCCCTTTGCTTTTCCAATAGGTTTATGTAAACTTGTCAAGCTCTGTGACTTGATAGCAAATGTATTAAAACTTAGATTCATTAGGTGAGAATTGACATCTTTGTTATTAAGTCCAGTATCATAGCATAGCATAGTATAGGTCTTGATTTCTTTACTGTTGTAAATATTATTTTTTATTGATTGCTGTTGTATAGAAATGCACTAAGTTTTTGTATGGTTTTGTATTCTGCAAATTTTCTAAACTCTCGTTCATTCAAATAATTTACCTATAGGTTCTTTTAAATTTTCCACACAGAAAAAAATACATTGTATGCAAATAATGACAGTTTTATTTTTTCTTTTCCAATCTTTGTAACTTTTATCTCTTTTTCTTGTCTTACTACATTGGCTAATATCTGCAGTAGAAGATAAAACAGAAGTAGTGAGAGATGGCACCCTTACCTCATTCTTAATTTTAAAGGAAATGCGTTTTTTATTAAGTATATGACATTTGCCATACATATTTTATAGACATTCTTTATCAGATATTGTTTTAATTACTCGCTTGCTAAGCATTTTAATCATGCATGGATTTTAATTTTTTCCCCAGAAAAAGTATTTAATTTCTGAAACCTTTTATGAATGAGGATATTTTCCTAATGCTTTCAATTATAAACTACTAGAGGCCTGGCACACGAAATTCGTGTGCATGTACGGTCCCTAGGCCTGGCCTGCGATCAGGGCCCTCTTCCCTAACTGCCATTGGGCGATTGGAGCCTGCCGGCCGGGGAAAGGGACTGAGAGGTGGTCAGTGCGCCTCATAGTGACTGATTGAGCGGTTGTTCTGGTCGTTCCGCTGTTAGGGTCAATTTGCATATTACCCTTTTATTATATAGGAGGAGGCTATTTTGATGAACTATCAAATTCCTTAGTCATATGCTTTCCCTCCTTTAAATTTTTGTAGACATGCCCTAGCTAGTTTGGCTCAGTGGATAGAGCATTGACCTGTGGACAGAAGGGTCCCGGATTCAATTCCAGTCAAAGGCACATGCCTGGTTTCGGGCTTAATCCCCAGTAGGGGGTGTGCAGGAGGCAGCCGATCAATGACTCTCTCATCATTGATGTTTCTATCTCTCTCTCCCTCTCCATCTCCCTTCCTTTTTGAAATCAATAAAAATATATATTTTTTTAATTTTTAGACTTACCTGAAATTTTTTCTAAAATAAAGGAAAAAACATTCAGAAAATGAATTCATTTGTTCCTTAGTTAGTGCAGAGTATTTTATTTATCATTGCTTCCAACCTTACCCAAAATACTTGAGTTAGAGGAGAATCAGTTGCTGGTTAAAGC